TTCAACGCCCCCCCCCGCCCCCCACACACACACACACACACATACACACACATACTTACAATTTAAACTGTCATAAATATAAACTCACACACCACAGGTGGATAACTAACGGATATTACGTCTACCTTAAAATCTGATCTACATGTAGTTTTCTATTGAATGGTTAAGTACCCCCCTCCCATATACTTAAAAATATGCTACCCACTCGCTGACTATGTGGGTAGATTTGTATGCCAGAGTACTGGTGCTTTCAGTTCCTCGTGATCTCAAAGTAATGAAATCATCACAATCAACGGGGAGATGTTGGAGTGGGATTCGTTCATTAGAGCAATTTTGTATTCCCGTTGATATGAATTATTCAATTGCAGTGTAGGATAATTCCCAGCGCTAGACTATATCAATGCAAAAATAATCAAAAAAGTTCTTTTTTTTAATTTGAATCTGATCAAAGTGGTATTGACAAGTAAGTAGGTAATCATCACACATGGGGAATGGCGAAAAAAGTTGAAATAAAACTCTGCCATATGCCTTTCAACGGTACACTGTCTTCTGGGTATTTTTTCTGAGCGGTTTGAATTAATCTAACTTGCTCAAATATACATAGAATTCCAATTCAAATATAGATTTGTTTATAACAGCAGGGATAAGATTTTTCTGATTATCGGTAGATTTCCGATTTATTGGGAACCATAAATATCATTGGCCTAGGCGGACCACTGGGCCCCACGCCACATTTTCCGACTTTTTCACAAAATAGAAGTCCCATCCCGTCAGCAGTAAGCCAGAAGGCATTTTGTCTATTGGGTTTGAGGACAGCAAAGCTAATTTCTGTGTCCGCTCAAAATGCTAGAAACATCGAGTGGCAAAATAGCGATTATTATTATTATTATTAGTTGACGGTTTTATAAGTAATTACATATGTAAACATCCTTGTGATATTTGTGTAACACGGTCTTAAGAAATAAGTTATTATTATTAGTAGTAGTTGTAGTAGTAGTAGTAGTAGTGGTAGTAGTAGTATAGTGTAACTAGTAGAATTAATAATAGTAGTCGCGTTTTTTTTCCTGGTATTCAATCTTTTGTCGTTATCTAACCCCTTTTAACCACTAAACCAATTTTCCCAGAAAAAAAACCCCGTTCCACTCTCTACCTCAGGGACCTCATTTCCATTGTCTTTCTTTATCGCCTATTTTTCGAGGAACGCAGTTTTCCTTGTTCTCTTCGTTATGTAATTTTCCTTGGATTATACGCTCAGCGTCATTTCGAATCAGTCATTTAGTAGGAAAATGACCCGGTAATTAGGTGCCCGAGACACACTGGGTGAGTCAAGGTAAAGTTATCATGATTGAGAAAAGGAAAAAACTCGGTGCAAGTTGAGTCAATAGACGTATTGCCTTCATCAGTGTTCTCGTTGTATTTAAACCGCACTACCATGAAACCAAAGCAGAACCGCATCTCAAAAGACCATATAATTCATTCTGGTCATGGCATATATATATAATGGATCGTTATATTGGTCAGAGTTTTAGATTCAGATATCTGAGTCACAGTGGGAGGGTTTTGTAATAGCCCTCATCGCTGCGGATTTATTATTATTTTTTGGCAAACTTTTCAGCTAAAATTGTCTAATTCATAATCAATCGATAATATTGCTTTCCTCGCAGACGTACTAGTATTCCCATATTATATTAAGATGCTCATAGTCGTATAGGACGTAATGTTTCTCAGTAACACACAGAGATAACATAAGATACAAGCTTCCTCGTGCACCACTTTCTTCGTGTTTCAATGTAAAAATAGTTTTTAATTTTACCCTTGATAAGCACTGGTAGAGGTGCGTGCGTAGAGGTTACATGTAGGAACGTTTTTCATCCGCTTTGACAATGCGGAAATAAACATTGTCGTAATGGGATAATGCCTTCGCATCAAAAATATATCGGGAGGTATTATTAGAGCTGATGACGTAGCAGCAACGTTTTTCACTTTGCATCAGAACTCCCTCACCTAACAGTTATCACCACCGTTTTGCAACATTTACAATTACAACAGTGAGTGCTAAAATCCAGCGCCAAGATATTTTCTTGAAAGGCATACTTTCGTTTCTACCTTTTTTTAATGGAACATCAGTGTAATATCTTCTACACATGTACATGACAACTTACTTGCCTTTGAATTAACTACGGTAATTACTCGACCTTTTCAATGAGGGAAATTGTGAATTTACAGATACTGTATATTTCAAGTCATTTCTATTGAGTGGTAACAATAATTTAATAAGCAGGCTGCTCTCAAGTTCTGTTTTATGCAGTAAAAAACACAATTGCTACACATAAATGTAATTTTGTGATTTTATACAATTACATATCTGAAAGTTTGATCATTTTTGCCCATTGAATAGATGGGTCATTATCGTAAAGAGAAAGGGCAGTTACTACAAATGGCAAATGTCATATTTAACTCTTGTTACACAAAGTAAATCCCTTAAAACGTTTTTTTCTATAGCTTTATTAAACCAGTAACTTACTGAGAGTTGAAAGCTGATGCCCTGTATGACATCTCACTGAAAACTGAAAATAGATCTTACCAACCTCTTTGTCAGAAGCAGCAATATAATAGAGAAGTACTGTAAATTCTACAGGAGCCCAAAGGCTTAAAATGACCATCAAAAGGAAACATAAGAAAACATAGCTGATTTAAATTATACGTTTCAAACATCAATGATATCCACTGAAAAACAATTAAAGCAAATAGGTGCTTTTAACAAGTAATAACTTTTTAAAACAGTTTGGGAAGCACCACTCAATAAATAGAAATCATAATAAAAACAACATTGCACCATGCACCTCCACTTACCATATATGTCAAAACCCAACAGGTTCTCTAAATGCATATCAATCTGAATCAATATATATTTTTCTAAAAACGTCTTTATGTCAAATGGCAACTAAAAAAGATGACTGAGAAATTTCACAAATTAACTTAAGGAGAGTGGGCTCAAAACATAAGGTACATTCATGCAACTGAAAATTATCAATCTTTTAAAAGAAGAATACTGAAATGCATTGTAGCCTTTTGATATGTTAGGAACGACTGCATTCTTCTTCCTTTTTAATTAGCCGATTCTGAGAATTAAAAAATTCCACCTAAATTATGCAATAAGGAAGTTCCATCTCTATGATATTGTAATTACCCATACTGAGCACTGAAATCAGTTGTTTACCAAGTCACAACATTCATACTCCATGTTTAAAATGGCCACAATTAACACATTCAAAACTGATAGCTCCTCTTACTTTTTTTAACTACTTGGGCTTAATAACCAAGACAACTTTAGACAAAAACTACAACACATATATAATATTAATACAACATATAAAACATGTTTACTTAAAATAAAACATCCAAATGAACACAAATCAACAATGATAATGATAATCATGAAAATTACAAAAGCTCAACAATATTCAATCAAAAAATTGCACCCAATTTCTTTAATGATTGCAGCTGCCCTCCATATGTAGATGAGTAAACTACTAGTAAATAGCTATTTTTTTACCTATGTGTCATTCTACTAGAACTTTTAATGTATTTTACAGTGTATAACTCTACACATAGCCTATGCACAGTATAATATCATAAAATTTTATTATGCCGAAGAAGCATCTGGCTCATCTTTCTAAATGAACACATTAATAAAACATAAAGCAACTGGGAATTTACTCAGTTCAAAAACAACCTCAAGCAACAAAATAAAAACATACCATAAAATCTAAGGAGGATAAAGCATAATAAATACTGGATAAAGTCAAAAGTTAACATAAAATTCCAAAAGAAATTGGGGTCTCATGTAAGGGTAAGCAAACAATAAAGAAAGCAAAAGTATTAGGTTATATATTTGTATGAGACATTTGTTGAACTGCTATTACAAACCTGATTTTATATATAAATACCTAAAAAAATAAAGAAAAAATTAAAAAAAAAAAAATTGTGTAATGAATAAATAGATAAACAAATGAAGTATGATAAAGGCAAAGGTGTCATTTACCACTGAGGGAAAAACATTGCAAGTGCGTGAAGAAATCCTGCATGAATGGTTAAATAAGCTACAAAATGCAAATGCAATCTGAATTTAAGGTGTAATAATCAATGAATGTTACTTCTTTATATATCTATGAGTGCTGATGGAGTATATTAACCAGTGTAATGTCTAAGGACAATATTACCTATACTGACTTTGAATGTGCAGTTTTATTATACTGTATATATTGTATATATCCTTAGTGAGATTCTTTATTATAAATAACCTATTGCTAAAGCTACTGTTTTCATTCCTATTATTCCTGCTGTTCTTCATCCAGCCCATTCTGCTGCTGAGGCATCTGCTGCGTTTGCTGTTGTTGCGCCAGTGGCTGCACTTGCTGTTGTTGCCGTGGTGGCTGCATTTGCTGCTGTTGCTCCGGCGGATGCATTTGCTGTTGTTGCGCCGGTGGCTGCGTTTGCTGTTGCTCTGGTGCATGGCTGCATTTGCTGCTGTTGCTCCGGCGGTTGCACTTGCTGTTGTTGCAGTGGTGGCTGCATTTGTTGTTGTTGCGCCGGCTGCTGCTGCTGTCCATCCCCTTGTCCACTTGGTCCAGTTTTGACCACGGAGTCGTAGCTTGGGGGACTGGGGAAAGCCTGTGGGGGGTAGCCAGCCATGGAATACTGCGGGTGGTGCATGTAGGCTGGGGGTGGGAGGTACCCACCTGACACTATCACAAGTAGAACAATAAGGGGGTTGTTATCCAAACATGTCCAAAATTTGATGAAACTCAAATGTTTTGTTTTACGTAATACAAAGCAATACAAAACATGGATATCTACAGATTTTGCACATTTTAAACAATAATTTGGCAATTTTTCAGCCTATTTTACTAAAAAACAAATGTTTGGACCATAAAACAACCAAAAAATTTCAATCAATGTTAACAAATGATTCCTTACTAGTACACTGCCACTATCAGTAAATGCACTTATTGACTACTCACAAGGAGGATAACGGTCAATTCCTGAGTCGAAAGCAAAGTTATTCTGAGTATGGACAGTGTTATTCCTGCCCCCTGCCATCCTGGTCTGTCCTGCAGGCATCATGAAGTTGGACTGGTAATATCTTCTCTTGTACCAGTACCCACCTCCAGAACACAGCAATACCATGAGGAGAACACACAGCCTAATGTAATAAATAAATAAATAAATAAATAAAAAATTAAATAAATAAATTAGGATTTTTACTTCATTAATGTGCAAAATGGAGATACAGATGAATTTAAACCAGTGTACGTAAGCTTGCTCTATTTTTTGTTACTAATATACATAATCTAATAATATATAATCTGCTTGTATTACATACCAGGACCAATCTGTTGACAGAAACACCAAACTCAGGGTGTTGCGACAAGTGTGATTGTGTCAGAAAAATATCTACTACTGTGTTAGAGAAGATGTACACAATTGCATTAGAAAGGTTGTGCCATAAAAATGCCATTGTGTTAGAAAAGATATCTCACCAGAAATACCACAATCTGTAGAAAGCAGCTACACTGGCACAGCAATGTCTTCCACAGCAATATTCCCCAAAGTTATAACATCTAGAAAGATATATCACAAGCTGTAAATTATTTGGCTTCATGTGTAAACAAGGGGTCAATGCACATGGAAATTATTTCGGAAACTGCACACCCTTCCTATAATTTCAAGTATGCCAAAGCAAAATGAAGTTACATTCTTTTTCTCTGTCTGTGAATTTCAGCCAAATCCTTAACAAAACATATCATAATTTGACTGATTTTGTAAAATGTTTTAAAATGTATTTCAACATCAAAGCAAAGTCTTGATTTTATCAAAATCAGTCAGCTGTTTAGTACCAGTAACATGACAGTGTAATGCCCGCACACGGTGAGCATTTGGCGCGCGCCACTTGCGCTGCGCCGTTTTCTCATCGTGTGCGGGGGTATTTTGGTGAGATTTTTGCCTCACGCGGGGCTGAGCAAAATTTCTCACGTGTTTGATTTTTTTGGTCTCTTGAGGCAAATGTCTCAGCGTGTGCGGGGTGCAAGCGCCGATTGCTCACGCCATGCTAACAATGCGCATGTGCCAGTAGCCGGAAACAAACAAAAATGGCAGCCCCCAGCGAAGTCAACAAAAATCTACACAGTTATAGTTAGTCTGATTGATTAACGTGGTCACCATTATCCATTACTATCAGAAAAAACAACAATATGTAATGTTTCCTTAAACACATGATCCCACAGTTCACAGTGCGTCCGCTAGGGGCAGGCCGGGAAGCACCTCTGCTGAGCAAAGAGCGCATCGTTTGCGGGGAGCTGAGGAGCGCAAGTGGCGCGCGCCAAATGCTCACCGTGTGCGGGCCCCTTAATGCATAAAGTATACAGTAAACCAGAAGTATTTTTTTTTCTGTTTTCCCAGCAAGCCGCAAACACTCTGCATAGTAAAGAAAACTGCATCTGATACAATGTATCAAATGCTGGATTAACATGCTTGTTTAAGATGTCTTTGATACATAACGCTGCCTACAATACTCTTTGTTCAAGCCAATAATTCAAGGTCAGAAATAAACAGTTTAATCTGTCTAATTATACAGTTTAAGTTTTGATACTTGAATCTTCTATAATCTTGTTTTTGAAGTACTCCCTCCAGGTTTTCTGTATTTTTACTCAATGCCAGGAGCCATGTTATCTGATTGCATTCAATGAGAGTCCTCACTAAGAAGTTCTGTTTCTTCTTCGCAGAATCATAGTTTCATTGGGAACGAGCTGTAAGAATATGTATCAAGAAATATGCTACTCATAATTTATACCTACACCAGAGCACATGTTGTTGATACAATGATTTTACCAGTACTGATGAGTACATGTACCTGAAGTTTAGGACCTCGCCATTGCTGGCACTGTAGTAACATGTATTAGCTTCCGTCTGAAAAAAAAAAAAAAAAAAAAAAAACTGACACATAATATCGCATATTAAACAGCTATAGAATAATTGATCGCGATAAGCAATGGTAACCGTACACGTTATATAATAAAACGTAAAAATTATACAACTTTCACTACCGGTACAGTACAAGTGCTGCGCAGAACGAATTTTCGTGCCAAGAGAAAAACTCTGCACCACTACATTTAAGCACTGTTCAACATTCATTTAGCAAAGGGTATCAGTGATCGCACTTACCTCTATAATGTAAAGCAGAAGACTTGTTGTTAACGTGAGGGTGTTCCACATTATTATTTTTCAGCAACGTATCTGTCAAATACCAATGTTTTCTTCCAGATCTCACGTTTTCTCGTTCAAGTGCACGAGAATGAATAGTAGGTCATATCTGCCGATACCATCGACGCTTTTCCTCCCCCTGTCCAGTGTTATAAACAATTAAGATTTTACCTTAAGAATTGAGGCTAATGTATAAGTCATTAAAATTGTAAGCCACAGTACATCTTTTGCTGATATTTCAATAAAGCTTTTAAGTATGAGTCTCAAAAATGATTCGCATTAATGAAGTATTTTTGTAAGTCGAGTAGGGGGTCATAAATGGGTTTTGACACAACAGGATTTAAAAGGTCAAGAAGATGGCGATTGGTGCCGTAGAGATTGTGACTTGGTTGTTATTTTTAACAAACTTAACGGTAAGTGAGGCTTTATTTTGTTAAGATGTTAAAAGCACAATGTACAGACCGTTATGGCGCTAACAACATCGTTTTTAACCGTTTTATGATTGTGTGGTTTCGTTTTAGGCTTTTGTCCATTAATCGGGTACACTGTAAATCGGGAGATCCGAGCTGTACTTTTTGAACTCCAGTTAAACTTTTTTTATAATCTAGATTGAAAGTGCCTTTACAGTCTACAAAAATCAGACATAAATAAGACAGCGTGTCATATTAATCGTCTTTTTAAATAGGCGACGATTCCGAAATATATTCTCTTTCAGCGCCTTGTTATGAAATAAAGCTGAATACACAACAAGTGGAAGAAAATCACGATTGCACAAACAATTGACACGGCTGAAACAACCTGTTGTTTAGAATATAACTTACCTTTGGGTTTCATCTAATTCTCAGATGTATATTAGGCATGGTGGTGATGTGTAGAGCTGTGGTGGTTGTGGGACGTATATATGTACAGCTTAAAGCACCAGGAATTGTTTGCGTAATACCCCATTCCCATAGATTTTAGATCGATCTATCCCCCTGGGGAGTCTCACTAGATTGCTGTTAGCTTAATGGTCTTTAAGTGTTTGTCCCCTTCTACTAAAAGCTGTAAGGGAGTAATTAACTTAGGTGCCCGCTCGGCTCCTGAAAGCTGACAGCAATTTAGTGTGAACCCCCAGGGAGCTAGGTCGATCCATATGGATCACTCTAAATCTGTGGGAATCCAGTCTTAAGCACCAGAAATTATTTGTGTTTGAGTTAGAGGTAGATGTACTGGTAGATAACATTCAAGTAAAATGCCTTATCGTAGGATCTTTGTGCATGTTGATGTTTTCTGTCCAGATGACCACGGCATTGTCCTTGATGCTGTGGACGTTGGACCATCCATACAATGTTTTTGAGGTCATACAATTCCTAGATATCTGGCCATATGCTTAGAAAGTATTTACACACGCATAAAAAAAAAGAAAAAAAAATGAGATCATGAAAATATAAAACAATATTAGCAGAGATGGTCAAAATTAACATCATTTTGACTTAATGTAATTGTTCAGTCTTAGACCGTATTCTCAACGNACAGATTTAACATCAGTTAGCTGTATAGCGTCACCATATACATAATCCGCTGCACGCGCGAAGCTGTTGAACAAAAGGATAGTTCTCTATGGAAGACCTTTTGTTTACATAAGTACTCTAAGGGGGCGTGCCTAACCAGGCGACAAGAGGATTAGGCTAGTCACTATATTCCGTCAAATTCGTTTAGCGACCCTATCATTATCACACTCCCTCTATTGTATTTTCTGACGTTATAATTGTATCTAATCTTCTTACGTTAGATGGAATAAATGCACACATACATAATCTTATGACTGTATATGGGTTTGTACAAATCTTGCAACTGAAAATGAGGCATAACTTACAGTGTCGCTTTAGTTCGTGTACGGCCTCCCTGATACCTGTTGCTAAAGGACTCATTCCGCTCGGACTCAGACGATCTGGAATTAATATCAATTCTTTTGTTATCATTTAGAAATAAGCACTTGCCATTCGACCATTTTGGTCCTCTCTCACTCTCACACACCTTTGTTATTATTGACACAATACATCACAAATACATGACAATACAAAAAGGAAACAAAACACCAACACAAACTCGCACTTAAGAGAAAATATGTTTAGGTACATGTATGACACTTTAGTTAATTATATCATCGTATGCTAAATGTTCATGTTGAAAATAAATTAAATATATTTTTTAATATTTTTAAAAAGTGTACTGACAGAGTGACTTATACCTAAAATCAAACCTCCCAAAGTTTACTCTGTAAACACTTTCTTAAGTAAATATAAAATTTAAATTGCAATATAATGAGATTAATAATTGGAGAGGGGGTCATAGAGCCAGCTAAGCAATTATGTTTTGAGACAGGTAAATAAAAGTAACTTGAATATTGGATAAAAAAAATATTCTGCCAAATCAGTCAATAATTTTTGGGAAACCTTGCAATGCCAGAATACCATGTTCTCTCCTGCACCTACCTAGTGCCCGTCTTATCTGGTTATAGTTGTCTGTTAAACTCACAACAGTATGACCGTCTGACCCTGACCCGCACTGTACAAGCCCAATCAACTCCTTGAATTCATACACATTTTTCGTGTACTCTGCGTCTGCAATACAATAAGGGATATCATATTCCTATTATTTCAGTTATTGGTTTTATTTTAATTTCAGTTTAAGTTTAATAAAAATGAAATATATAAATGTCTTCAGACATAGCTTTCATTACGAACATTTCAAATGAGATAAATGCAAAATGAAAATTGTATTATGAAAGTTTCTAATGAGTATAGCAGTCTTTATATGTAAGTGTACCCGCTATAAATTTCAGATAGAAGATGCATTAAACAGTCAGTGTGTCACAACAAAGACCACGCATATAACATGCTATCTTATGAGGGTATCTCACCATCAAGAATCTTGTGTACTGCATTTTTCATGTCAGTGAAAGGTTCTCCTTCCATGCTCCCGGAAGTATCCACACAAATCACTGTACTCAAACCATGAACCCGCTCTCCATATACGCGCTCTGCATGGAAATCACCTATTTAACAAAATATATAGATGCTAAAATAATATAGGACATAATTCATCGTACACAAACCAACACTTGCAAAAATGGAATAAAACGTAGTAAACTGAGGGCCAAAATTACCCAAAAAATGTCCCCCATTTTTCAAAAATTCCACACCAAACATTCACATTTGCGAAACCTTAAATATGACAACATCAGCATATTTGGTGTAAACTAAGAAAACTCCTAGCACGTAATATATTATTGTAAAAGAGAACGAAAATAACAAGCCATGTTTAATATTGAAAACTTCTCTTTCATGCTTCAACTTACCATCATCATACACTGCCCCTGAGTGTCCTCCACTTGCTTGTGAGCCACTATCGTGTCCCTGCTCCAGATCAGCACTGGCATTTTCATGAACGCCATCTTTATCAGTGTTGTCTCCACCTGTGGGAACACTGCTGCCCAATGGGACTTTTGTACCTGGCCAATGATGTATTTTATCATCCACCTTACTATCACACACTGGCTGTGTGTGTTCTCCCCTTGCTTGTGACTCAATCGTTTTTAGATCCTCCCCAACAACAAAAATATATTTCAAAGCACCAACATTGTTGACCTCACCATTGGGAGCATTAATTGGCGGTGCTATTTGTGATTCTGGCCCTAAATAATGACCCCCAAGTTCTGGTTTGATGTCTTTGTTACAGTGGTCTTCTTCTCCAACACGATGCTGCTGGACTTTATACGTAATTGTATCTTGATGTTGATTCATCATATTAACCAATGCATCCTCCACTTTTTTCAACTTATGCTCTGTTTTTGACAATTTCGAAATCAACTGTGATATTTGACCATTTTTGTGCGTTATAAGTTTGTGGAGTCTTTCTATTCTGAAATCTTTCTCATCGTAGCCATTAAAAGTCTGTGGAAACTTCCTGGAGAGCAGAGGAAGGGGGTCGTAATGTCCACTTTCATATGCCCACTCAAGAAGAACCTTCGGATTGGCTTCTTTTTTCGGTTGGCCAGCAATGTCTAGCCACGATAAGCTTTGGGTACCCTCTTTCAGAAAGCATTTACCAAAGTTTAAGTCATCTGACGTCATCGGTAGATCACCTAAAATAATATCGTGGATTCTATCATCCTTAAGACACTGAATAAATACCCTTTAATACCACCCCTTATGAAAAAGTCCTATAGGATCCTATAAGATCCTGTAGGATCCTATAGGAAATTGGGCCAATTTCCTATAGGATCTTATAGGATCCTATAGGACTTTTTCTTTAGGGACGCTGTACTTTTACTATTCACCATTTATTTTATTCTCAGTATTGAATATAATGAATGCTTTTTTTCATTAATATTGTAAAGCCATGTTTTTCTGGGAGCACCAGCTAACTTGTTTTAGTGACTTCTGTATGAGAAAGTGGCTGGTATCAGATGTTAAAACTATTAAATCATCAAAACTGACACTACAAAAAATTGAAAAATAGAAGTTCCAATTAATGCAGATGGGAGAACTTTACTTTTGGATGTTGAATTACGCATACTAGACACTTACCATGAAGTAATATACGCCTCTTCTTCAAATACTCATCCAGATCCATGTTTGTACTCAAAGATAAAACAAGATTTTCTGGAACCATACTTCGGATTTCTTCTGTCAAAATGACCTCGGTCAAGGACGTTGACAAAGGTGAAGGTCGCCGACTTTTAACCCACATCCAGAATGCATCTAATTGTTCGACAGTGTAAAACTTCATATTTATCAAAATGGATCCTCTCGATAAACCAGTGACCATCAAGTTCCATTCTGCCAAGGCGTTTCGTATGGAGTCTACCATCTGTCTGCTTATGTCAGGGTTATTAAATATGTATTCATCAACAGTGTGTGATACTATTTGAGCATCTTCTGATGTTTTCCTTTCTTCCAGAATACCAACTATAGCCCTAATATGTCCAGTAACATCATTGGGTTTTCCTAAAAAACCATGGAAGAAATATTGATGGATTAAATATGCTTATCTATAAAAAGACGATAGCTCATCTCTGGCAAAAGGTAATGTTAACTGGATCTTTATCAATGGCAAACAACCTGTTGTTCAGAATTCGACTCATGTAATTTTGTTTATTAATTCAAAAACTACATAAGGGTTGTAAAAATCATCTGCAGGACACTGGAACTGTGGATAAAATTACCAACTATGAGCAAGTTCTCTGTTAATAAGCCCCCTCTGGTTTAGGTAAATGTTTTTTTTCTAGAGAACTCTGCTAAAAAGCAATTACTGAGATTAAAAATCAGCTTACCAAGTAGCTGGTCAACAATGAACTCGCAGTTGTTGTCTTCTAATGCCTGCATAAAGACCCAGAATGCTTTCTCGCTGGAGTGTAACAGGACATTTGTCACTAAATGCTCACACTTGTCCCTCTCAGTGGTTTTACTTGCAATTATTTCTCTATGGCGATCAGACAGAACCAAGTGGCTGAACATATAAAGTGCCACATCATCAATAACGGGGTGGAGATAACGTATCAAATAGGGAAGATTTTTTGTGAGAGCCTCTTGGTTTTGCTTCTCCAAAGCCTTGTTTCCATCTAGAAGTAAAAATATGCACAAACTTGTAATATACCTTTAAAAAAAAGACGCAGAGGCAGCACTTGACATTTGGTTGTTTTAACTTGCCATTTTAGATGTAAACGACTACATATACATGCAAAATGAAGGTGGATATGATAATTTGGCTGCTGAAGATATGATAACTAATAATCTGGTCAAAAGACGTAACACAGTCAACAAACCATCAACGAGTCTTTGCTTAGTACAAGCACCAAAATTGCCATACATAAATGACGGCTCTTTGACATACCATAAAGGTTAATAAGCTATAATTACAAACCTTCAATGTACTTCTTGAAGTCACGTTTAGTGTTGGTGGATTGTTGTTGCATTCCATTACAATGGAATTCTCCATTTTTTCTTTCTGCTTCCTCTCTTGCAGTACATTTTGCACAGCAGTTTTCAGGAATCCGTGGTGTTTGTGGAACATTTTGAGTCAGGTTGAGTCCTGTACCACTGCTACAGTCACCACCAGGAGGCTAAAATATATACACCATGAAACATGTTCTACAATAATATCTTTAAATATTGTGTTTTAATGTATTAATAACTTAAAGAAATGAGAATGTTAATCTCTTCAGGTTATGGATTTACCCAGTAGCATTATCAAAAAAAAAAAATCTAAATGATAAATTCAAACATTTTTGCTGAAAAAATATTCCTAAATAAAACACCATGTCACCATTATGATATGACCTTTTTAAAAGACGTAACTATACCTCATTTCCAGGTGGTTCAACTGCAGTTTCTTCACTCAAATTCTTTGGGATAGTATCATCATGTAACCCCTAAAAGAGGCCAAAGTTCTAAACATTAACCACATAACCTTGATGTTTTTTCTTTTCATTCTGATGTTATGTACAGCACTTGGTTTACAGTCAGTACAGGAACAATGTTTACGAGGAACATTCAAACAAAACAGCATTTACCTGTAATATTACATTTCACTTACTTTTGCAACTAATGACTGCAAATATGCATTAGTTTCCTACATCAATTTTGAATCTCAAACACAAACTATTACTCTTCTCTCGTAATCTATGGAACCCTATATTATTACAAAATCAGATGACTTTATTACTATGTTAAATTATTCCAAACATAAAATTTATTTAACATGATGCTTTTCTAGAGGAGCTCTAGCTTCACTATTGCCTGATAACCCCCATGGTAGATAAAATAGGAAAGACACATTACATTTTTTCAATAAAAGCATATATTTCATTCTTGAATTAAAAAGGTATAATTCTAATTATACCTCGTCTCCTGTTGGTTCGTCTCCTCCAACTGCTGCACTAGCGACACCTTTTGGGGTAGTTTCTTGTCTTGCAGTTTCTCCATTCGATCTTTTTTGGACCGTGTTATCAATGAATCCCTGTCAATAACAAGCATACACGTATATACACAAATATATTCATTTTAAAGAGATATATTTCTCCTACGCCAAGAAAGTTGGTTTTTGCCAGCTTTGGTGTGTCTGAGTGTTTGTTTGTTAGCAATATGAAAAATGTTATGAACTGATTTTGGTGAAGTTAATCAGGAAAGGTTTAAAATGGACATATATAAGGGTCATTAACTTTTAGGGGTAGCCTGGATCATGTTCTGGTTCCAAGAATCTTTTAAAGGTTCCTTTACCATTTAACATTATTGTGTACACATTGTTACTCCTTAAATAATGCCAAAAATCATGAGCAATGGTTGAGGAGAAAATGAAAAAAAATTCTAACAAACGGGAAAGTTTAGAAAGATGATCTGTTATTGCTCGAAACTGCATGTGTAATTAGACTTGGGCTGGTCTCTAACACCGCATTCACAACGATTTGAGCCAGGCTTTACAAATCCTGGGACTAAATATGGCTGACGTACATGAAAGGAAAACCACCTAATCTTTTAATAGTCTCTCCGCCTCTCACACGCCTCCCCACACGTCATCCCTGCGGGGTACAGTCATTAAATCTCGGCTCTGTTCGCCATGCGGAAGCTACCTGAGAAATATTAAGTGCGCATGCTCATCAATTAAACTTGAGGTAAAGAAAGCATGGAGGCTGAAGGCAATCAAAGGAAAAAAGCTCTTCTGTTCCATTATCTCTCAAAACAGAGACAAAAAAGAAATGAACTGGCCCGCGTAGAGCAGCAATGAATCGGCTATCTACGGAGATAATGTCACCAGAGATATTCACGGAGATACCCAGCCCCAGTAGACGGAGGAGGAGGGCAGAATTTTTGCGTATGCAGTCTCGTCAGAGGGCACAGTTCGTTCTGATGCTGATGTTTGCCTTGGTCCCTACGCCTGATCGAACTGGAAGGGGGGGGTTCACGATTTTGATCAATTCATTTCTTTTTCTCAGGTAGCTTCCACATGGCGAACGGAGCTGAGATTTAATGACTGTACCCCGCAGGAACGACGTGTGGGGAGGCATGTGAGAGGCGGAGAGACTATTAAAAGATCAGGCGGTTTTCCTTTCATGTACGTCCGCCATATTTAGACCCAGGATTTGTAAAGCCTGGCTCAAATCGTTGTGAATGCGGTCTAAGTCCTTTTCCAATCTTTTCACTATTTGAAACTTAAAAGCTGAACTGTAGCAGTATTATGTAGCAGTATTATGAAAGTGCTTTTGCAGACATAAACTCAAAATTAATCCTAGAATGATATTTTGTGTCACTATTGTGTGAGTGATAATATCAAGACACATATTAAAAATAAAGGAATTTTTTTTCTACCTCCTGATCCCTGTAGTGCTCAGCCAGTCCTGGGCTAAAGCTTGGGTTTGCATCAACGTGTTCATTCCCCTCCCCCAACGGGTTAGGTCTGTTTGCTTCACTTTGTGGCTGTATTTTTGAGAATGAATAGTACGTTACTTCTGCCCACGAGTATGATAAAACATGACATGACAAGCTATACTTGTGTCTATATGTAATTTGAAAGAATATTATCATATTTAAAAATTATATGTATACATTGTAGAATTAAGGAAAATCTATCAAATGAAGAGAATAACCTAAGCTCTTTAACTTGATCTTGCCGAAATAAAGAACAGGTTGCCCCTTCACACAGGAACCGCTCAACCCGAACCAATACATACGTTAGCAGAGCATGACTCTTGCTGTATTAGTGAACCCCTTCCTTCTCTACCAAGGTCTAAGGTGTTGTTTCCAATAAAATCACTTGTGTCTGCTTGTTCTTTTTATGAAAGAGGAATGGCTTTGTGACTAACTTATTGCAATACCTGTGCAAAAATGTGTTAATTCAAACTACTCTTTTTGCCTCGAATACAGACAAGAGCTAAAACACTATTGATAAAATTGATGCAACATCTTGATTAGATTATGATTAAGTTACCATAATAAAACTTTTTCATAAATCATATTCCATGATTAAGTACAATGTTCTTCCCAATATTCTTTACCACCTATCTCCGTATAATTACCTGTACTTGCAGCATCTGTAATACATATCGCATCGGCTGGATCAATATGCCTGAAAAATTACATTTGGAAACTTAGAAAACCAAAAAAATTTGATCTGTGTCATTTTAGCAAGTGTCAATTAAAAAGGTAACATTTTCATCTCTAAAAATAAGATTGTCCCATTATCTGATGAACAAAATGAAGAATAAGGCTTCGTTCACATGCAATGTCTATTTTCTAAATTCTATTTTCTATTTGCGGCATGTCTTATGATCACGGTCTGTGCACTGAATATCCCGCGGCGTAATTACTGGCAGCGCGAGCCAGTTACTATAAGTTACTATAAGTAACTGGCTCGCGCTGCCAGTAATTACGCGGCGGGATATTCAGGCCACAGACCGTGATCATAAGATAGCGGGAATAGAAAATAGAATTTAGAAAATAGACACTGCATGTGAACGAAGCCTAAAAGCTCACCCTATGATGTCACCATCACCATCTGATTTTCTATCAGTTTCACTTTCTGAAAAAAAAGGACCCCAAATGTAAAATAATACAGACAAACAACAAACACAAAACACACATCATCTATACACTGAACAAAAAAATGAACATGAATTTTTCTGAAATGACAATGCACGACTATACTATAAATATAGCCAACTAGTTCAAGTGTATGCCTATGTGCCATATAAAACATCAGTGGCAGATTTGGGAGGGGGGGGGGATTCAGGGGGGTCCTGACCCCCACTTCGATTTCTGAAAAAAAAACACACCAAAGGTCTCCTATTGAAATTGGAATTTTGACTAGCTGATCACAGTTCTGAACCATAAAAAATGGCACCATTTTCGGTCCCTGAACCCATATTAAAGGGGGGGAGGATAAGGATCGGCTTTGTATCTCCCTTCAAATAATCCTGGATCCGCCCCTGAACACATATATGTCATGTACACATTACCTGATTCAATATCCATATCAGAGAAGCTTTGCCATTTCTGAATAGTCTGTTGTAACTTGGCAGTTGCATCTTCAATGGTTGTTATTCTTCCANGATGTGTGGGGAGGCGTGTGAGAGGCGGAGAGACTATTAAAAGATTAGGTGGTTTTTCTTTCATGTACGTCCGCCATTTTTAGTCTCAATTCGTTGAGAATGCGGTCTTATACTATGTACCTTCCACTGGAAGGTTATTTTTGCTAGAGAAAGCTGTGTAACTTGCCACTAATAGTCTATTGAGTGGTGGTTTTGATGCAAAGGGCAGAGATGGTGAAACTTTGGCTGTTATGACAGTCACCCCAACTGGTTATAATCCCTTGGGATGAATGAGTGAATGTTTTAGGAATTGCTAGTACTTATTTTTAATTTTACACTATCAGATTTAGTATTTATAGTTTGTCAATAGGACTAACTTGATCTTGGTTCTTGTTAACCTTGAACCTTAGCAAGGGAATGAGTTAAGCTGCATCTCAAGGTCTGTGATAAAATCAGTTATGAAACCCCTTGTTTTATGGTAAAGTTATGAAGGGAGATAATTAATTTTCCAGTAATTTATGCTAAATCAAGGAAAGAAACATTTCCATTTCTCAGGTTTGAGAGAAAAAAGTTATAAGTTTGTTTATATCATGGAATGAGTCATTATGTGTTTTGTGTGAAGTCTTTATCTGAATACATGCTTCAGGCAAGGTTTGTTCAAAAGTGGAACTTTTCATTGATTTATTTATTTTTTTACCTTTTCTTCTCACCTGGTCTGGTGTTAGAAAGTGAGTCATGTGAAGGTGGACTCTATAGAGGTCAGGTCTGACTTTGTTTTTAAACTAGTTTTTTTCTTTCATTTTAGATTACCCAGTCATTCTGCATTTATACAGAAAATTGGAGACATATATGTTGGTTTGATTTGGCAAACTGTGTAATTCCACGTATAAATCCTGTATAATATAATACAGTGACGAATGGGCATTTACTAGGAAACAAGAAATATTTGTTAAATATGTGCTTGTGAATGAGTAATACAAGTTTTTAAGTCCTAATAATATCCTGTTTAAGCAGTCAGCTACTTTCACTTTTGGATTTGATATGAATCTCAAGCCAAATTTAACTTGAATGTGCAGGGTAAAAAAAGTACATTTCCTTTAATTATAAATATGTATGTTTTGATATATTTTCCCTTTAAAGGAAGCATTGTATTAATGGCCTAAAATAAATAAATAAATAAAGATAATATAAAAAAATTACTGACCAAAATTTTCTGACTTCTACAAGTTTGTAGCGGTGACCATATCTCTATCATGTACCAACTAACTTAAACCTTCACAGCTGGACTAGAAATGTGGCTATACTTTTATAGGACTTAATGGTGTCAAATGCCATCCCTTGTGAGACAGGTGCAGGCGTTCTCTGGCCTGAATACATCAGTTACAACTTGCTTGTATGCAGAGATGTGTCCTAGTTTTATGAACAATGAACAATTCAGCTTGGTATTAAATTTGCACCTTTTCAGGTATATATATATATATATATATATATATATATATATATATATATATATATATATATTTTTTTTTTTTTTTTGTAGAAATATGTGATCTAATAATACCTGTGATTGGTACGTTAATATAATAATGTTTAAAAGATTGCCAAACTTATATAGAATTATATATTTTAGAATAATTCTATAAATGTTTCCATGAAATGTTTATTTTACCCAAAAATATGTCAGTAAAAGTTCTTCCATAGAAGTAATAGTGTAGTGGGATGTTTGGTCTCTTTCTTGGGCAAACATTTTCATTTGAACAATTTTTGTTTCATTTATTGGGATAAGTTTTAGAAAAAGGCTGAATTCCAAACTTATTTGGTCTACATTGGTTCAAGATAAATCCATTGTCCTTCAATATTAAAATATTGGTCTAAAACAATAAACAAACGATAAACATAATTTTGTTACCTCAGGGCAGAGGAGTGCTACATTAGATCAGAATCCTCTGACACGTGAACAACCAAGTCACTTTCACGGGCTATGCAGTGTCTGACAACATGGCCTTGCATGTGTTAACCTAGACCCCATTCCCAGAGATTGGATCGATCCAAACTAGATCGACCTTACTCCCTGGGGGTTTAAGCTAAATAGCTGTCAGCCGAGCGGGCACGAAAGTTTATTACCCCCTTACAGCTTGTAGTAGGCGGGAGGGATATTTAAGCCAGATTAACTGACAGTAATCTAGTGAGACTCCCTGCTGGGATAGATCGATCTAAAATCTATGGGAATACGCCCTTAGTTAATCATTACACCCAAAGGATACACTGGCGGCGGCTAATCAGTCTTTCTATTTGCCGTTCAAGGTGACCATACTCATTGTTATTAGATGGGTTGTATTGAAAAATATTGTTCTGTTTGGGTTTTATTTCACTTGAGTGCTTGATTAAATTGCTATGGTTCTAATTGCCTCAGGTTGTTGTCCTTGGTGTTTTTTTTTTAATCCATGCATTTTTTTTTTTTTACCCTGATGCATGGTTGTAGCTCACACAATTTGCTCAAATATTGATTGATTACCTGAATCACAATGTATTTTTATTAAATTATAAAAACCTTATTTTGATGAGTGAGTAAAGTAACCTTGGGGGATATGAGATTTTGAATTAAGTAAGGTGAAAAATGTGGGTTCTGTTGTACATAGAAACGAAGTACTACTAGTATGTTCAAGTCTGAATTTTTATTTTTATTTTTTATTTTTTTTTTGTAGTTGACAGAATTCAGGACATTTTTCTCTCTCTACATCTTACATGCTATTAAATTAAGTATCAAGTGTTTTCAGTAAAAAAAAAAAAACATGAAACATGTTAGAGAACAGGAGACTCAAGAATGTATGGCTGTCAGTGTCTTTCTTCTTGTGGTTTTTAAACAAATGACCTAAAGTACAGATCCTAAAGTATTCCTCATTTTATTTATCATTGTAGCCAAAGCAGTTGGTTGCTATGTCTTTATATAATACCTCAGTGTTGCCCAGACAACTGTGGTTTGTTGACAACTTGAATGCTATCTTAAACTTCCCAGCTGGAGATCTTAAGCAGAAAGAAAATGCCTTTGTAATAAAACAGCAGAACCTGGTATACATTTACCTATTATTGTTGCCTAACAACCAGAGTTATGTACAGAATTGCCTTCTTTAGGGCTGTTCTCAACTGTAAAAAATTAGTTGGAGAAGGAGACAATGGTTTCATGTCTGTCTTAATGGGGTAATTTGTAAGTCTGTAAGGAGATTTCTCATTATTATTATAAGAGGAGCTTTTTTCTTTTGCCTACTAGTATAGATCTGTACTAGGCTTTCTAAACAGAAATCTTGACGTGATGAAATATTAATGATGATCACCTACTATTATACAGTGCTGGGTTTAAGTTCTTCCTAAAGGTACTTTCTGTGGGTTTGAAAATTCCCCAAATGCCCATTTTTGCCATCCACAGCTTCTTATAAAACTTTACAGACACCTTAAAAAATGCTTTCCGCCCTTTAATCTTTTTTTTTTTTAGCATACTTGATGTTGATATTTACATAGGAGCATATAGGAAGATGGTTGCTGATTATATATATGACTGGTCAGTCATTTTTAACGTAGTCAACTTTTATATATTTAATTAAGGGTCAATCCAAGTGCAATGAGGGATAGATAAACAATTTGTGAGTATGAGGAAATTGCTTATTTTCCAATGAAAATCCATTTTGACGTGAAGTCTCATGGAGTTGCCCTTTAAGCCCAATTAATTTAGCATTTAAACTACCAGTAAATCGAGATTTTAAGTCAGTACTCTACTAGTACAGTGATCTATTGGAAGTATTTAAAAAGGATATATTTTGCCGATTCTTGAGCTTAAAATATATATTGTATTGCGGTGAACTTTGTGTTGTGTTAGGCTGTGTATGAATATTGCTACCTCTGTGGTTACTAATGTCTGCTATCTAGACTAATTGATACTGTAAATAATTGTATATTACTGCTGTCATTTCAGGTTGGGTATGGATATCACGTGACAACAGTAGGTGCCATGTAAACTGTATAACAATAAATGTTCAATTGTTAATTTAGGTTGTGTACTGGTACGGATAGTACAGTATGTGACAATATCATCTGCCATATATAAGACTGCATTCCCACAGATTTTTAGTTCGATCAATCCCCATGGGGAGTCTCACTAGATTGCTATCAGCTTAGCTAGCTTAAATGTTTGTCCTGCCTACTAAAAGCTGTAAGGGGGTAATTAACTTTGGTGCACACTCGGCTGACAGCTATTTAGCATGAACCCCCAGGGAAGTTGGGTCGATCCAGATGGATCGATCTAAATCTGTGGAAACCCAGTCTAAGTGAACTGCCCAATAACATTGTATTACAGTAACTTCATATTGTTGTTATTTTAGGTTGTGTATGGAAAGCACAGTAACATCAAAAGATGCCATGTTAACTGCTCAGTAACATTGTTTAATTGTTGTTGTTGTTTTAGGTTGTGTATGGATATTACTGTGATAGTGGAAAATGCCAGTTACACCAGTATTGCTGCGGAGATAACATATGCTGTGCATCTTATCAAGTGTGGCATTACTGGTATTTGGGGTAAGATTTTTTCACTGAAAGTGATAAATTGTGAATGTGATGATCAGAAAGATGTATTCTACAGTGTGACACTGTTTTCCTTGCTTATGAACAACATATAAATAGTACAATACTTTTAAGTTTAATATTGTGGTAAGAACTGTTGTTTTCTTTCATTAATTCAATTATTTAGTTTTTTTTATGACTTACTAGCAATTTACTTTTAGCAGTGAAAAGTTTTTAAATTTTGCTGTCAGAAGTTTGATGCATTTTACATAATTTTAGGGATCAGCTCCACAGACCAGCCACATTCTATACTTTGGTTCGTGAATTTTCCTTTGATTTGTCATTTTCTTTGGACTCTTCATTATAAATTTGTTTTACAAATTTCTAGGTGCGGCTTGATTTTATTCCTCGTTCTTCTTGGTGCCTGCGTCAGTTTCTGGCGCTATCGTTTCTAC